AGGGCTCTGTAGTGTAGCTATCGCTAGGGGAGTGATAAACGCTGAAACAATACTGGCTAGGGCTAGGGCTAGGGCTAGGGCTAGGGCTAGGGCTAGGGCTAGGAAATGACTGAGGGCTCTGTAGTGTAGCTATCACTAGGGGAGTGATAAACGCTGAAACAATGCTCGGCAGAGGGAAGGGATCAGAGTGAGTGTTAAATAGTGAGGGAGTGATATGAAACAGCTGGGTGCAATCAGTGTGAACAGCTGTGTGCAATCCGTGCTGAGTGCAATCAGTGCAATGCATGATGGGAAATGTAGTCCGGGGTGATGTGCAACAGTGTGTGGTGCGAGAGTCAATGAAATTGGAAGTTCATGGACCGGATTCGTGACAATATTTAATCTCAAAATCAAATGAAAGAAATACAAAATTTTACCTTTACATTATCTTAATAACAATTCAACATATTTTCCCAGGACTCTCTTTAACATTATGCAAAAAAATTATAATAAATAAATAGGGTAATTTATGCTGATGATTTAATAATAAAAAAATACAACAATTCAAAATCATTTAAAAAATCATTTTCATTTGGGATTTTATTTCATGCGCAGGAATTTTCACCCAATTAAATAATTCAAAAATACACATGTCAATGTCACAATTTAGTTGTTGCCTCCAAACTGCAATGTCTACGAATAGCTCCTCTGAGAACTTGAAAGAAATGGACATCAAAGAGAAATATGTTTTCAGAGTGCCTCCAGTTATGAGTCTCTCAAATCTAAAGCAACCCTCCTTTGCTGAACTGCCGGATACAGGAGGGTTGTGTACAAATGCAACATAGAAAAACAGATTTTTGTGTCCAAAAATGTATCCATTTTCTTCTTGATTCTGTTTGAAAACCCAGAATGAGTGCGCCAGAGATGTCTGGAGAGGAACGGGCAGATATTTAAGATGGGGGTCAAAGACGGCCACCTTCGGTTGACTCACCATCAATGGTGTTAAACCTTAACAGTTGTTTTTCCTGCTTAATGTCCCTCTCGTCTCGTCTCCTGAGAGCTTGAAATGCTCCCTGCAGGTTGTTGTCATACTGTATCTGACAGCACAACAGTGACTAATTCAATCTTATTGTGTTTGGCTCCAACAAGCTGTTTTTCCTCCGAGACCTTTTGCTAATGACAAATGTGTCAAATGATTACTGTAACATTGTCCAGTAAACATATGGCACTAACTGAGAAGGTAAGACTTAAAAGACAACAACAATCCTATGCTAAATTTTTGTATAGCTGCTATTAAAATAAAAGGATGGTTGGTAATTCCTACTACTGTTTCTGTTCCTCAAGGGTTCCACTAACATTTATTTTACATTTATTTGAGAACTTTTAAGGAATAAATTCTTTGGAAAAAAATGGAATTGTATTGATGAATGATGAGACAGTTCACTAAAGTTCTGACTCATAAGAGTCAATTGTTCAGGAATCAGACTACATTGGTTGTACTGTATATGATTGATTCACAAAAATGACTGGTTCATAAATCGCATTGCAATTAGAATCAAGTCACATTTATTTTTATAGTGCTTTATATAATGCAAACTGCTTCAAAGCAGCTTCAAAATAAACAACAAATTCAGCAATTAAAATTCAGCTGTAAAGCAGCTCTACAGAAGACAATAGAGTCATTATTCAGTTCAGTTTAGTTCAACGCTTATTCAATGTCGTTCAATAACAGTGTCAATGTTTTAAGTTCATCAGTTACAAAACAAATTCAATTCTGCTACAGAGTAGCTCTACAATGGACAATAGTGCCATTATTTAGTCAATTCAATTCAAGTCAAGTCAGTATTGATTGAATTCAGTTCGGTTCAATAACATAAGAATCATTTGTTGGACTAAACTAGTTGCTTTTTTTGTTTTTGATTCACCGCAAAGAACTGATTCATAAACGTGATTAATTCTGTAATCACTGCTAAACTAAACGCACTGTACGTTCTGCACTGTGAATTAGGTAGCTGTGTTGCAACGCCATAAAATAAGCATCACAGGACACTGTGTCAAAGTACTTTAGTAGCCTCAATAAGACAGAAAAATCAATTAAATGGTTATGAAAGAAGAACATATTCTGGAACAAACAGGTTAACTGAGGTCTAAAACAAAGAGAAAGACAGCTAAGAGATTCACAAGCACATTTATCTGTTCCTCTAATAGCACCTTTAGCTATTGAATGACCACAATACACCTTTCTCTGTTCACACACACATTCCACGGAGTACAATCTACAGTCGCTGGGAGACTCGCCCATTTACCCTGACACGCTCACAGTTCATAACCAGCTATCACTTTTAGACCAATGATAGCCCACATTTGTTCAAAGCTACTGCACCACGCTGACCTTCAGCGTCGTAATTACAGTTTCTCAGGCCTGTACACCTTATCAAAAGCTACGTCACCTGAAATGGGAGAACGAAAAGAAATGAAATGGCTTCTGAGGGAGTATAAATTGCTGTCCTCCCCCAGTGTCTTCGTTTGATATCAGCGTGTGATAATTCAGCTATCAACTGATAAATGTCATCAGCAATGTGGCATTTGTGTGTCTCCCAGAGCAAATTTAGCTCATCATCAGAGCTCAGTGCAGTTTCAGATTTATTAATGTCCCTGCCTGCATGACCCCGCTGTTTGCGTTTCATAATCTAGTTTGCCATCTTTGTCTCGCCCATCTTCATTGTCTTTCTCTTTCTGTCTGTAAACTGGACCATTTTTTGCCTTAAAGGGAAAGTTCTCCCAAAAATGAAAATTATTTTGACATTCAACCTCACACCGTTTTGACTTCACACCTGTGACTTTCTTTCTGCAGAAAAAACATAATAAGATAAAAAGGTATTTTGACTGTATATAAAAAAACACTAAAGCATTTAATCAAAATATCTTTGTGTTCACAGAAGAAAGTAATACAGGTTTGGAAATGATGACAGAACTTTCATTTTTGGGGTTTTCAACTCTCCCTTTTAAAGGTGAAGCTTAGTTTTATCATACTTTTTCTGTTATACAGAAACAGGAAGCAATTTATAGGTAGATTTCCCCCAAAAAATGTGGCTTTGTGGCTAATACTGTGAACCAATGGCATGAGTCTGGTACGGGACTATTGATGGGGTGTTCAGGAAACATTCATTATTTTTGGTGCAGAAATGAAACACTTCACCTTTAATGAAAACCTCGCTGAAATGATATTTCCTTAATGTTAACTAGTCTGACTCACCCGCTAAACATACACCCATAATAACACGGAGTTCCTCACTATCTGACTTATCTTGGACATTGTTATCAGTGTCATAGAGTTCAAGAAGGATGTGTGACATAAACTGAAGTGTTATAATATCTGGAAAAGCATTGCGAAATACAATTTAGTTCCAAGTTCCAATTGATTTTCAGATCTTTACGATGACCTAAATATGGCAGCATTCAGATTTTATATAATACATTCAGTCCAAGGTTACTGAAGCAGAACCATACAGTATATGTGGCGTTAGGTTTAGAGGATTTATTTTATTAGAGTTCTGAAAGTGAACTTCCATGACCTACTTGTCCTTGAGGTTTGGAGGATTCATTATATATATATATACACACTGTATATGTTAAATGCTTCTATTTTTGACGGTGTTGACAACGTTTCTGACAGATAATATGATATTTTTTGCCTTGAGCATTTCCCTTACCGAATGTGCTATCCTGTCAGCAATAACCTGTCCATGATTACTGTCAGTTTAAGTGTCGGCGAAGTATTGACAGATATTGCTATTAAAACAAACAAAAACCAATAAATAAATAAAAAATAAAGCAAAATTATTTCAAATCTTTTGCAATTAAGATAATATAAAGAAATCGCTGACCCTAAAGTGCAACGTCCAAGGGTCTGAATACTTAGGACCATGTGATATTTCAGTTTTTCTTTTTTAATAAATCTGCAAAAATGTCAACAATTCTGTGTTTTTCTGTCAATATGGGGTGCTGTGTGTATATTAATGAGGGAAAAAAATTAACTTAAATGATTTTAGCAAATGGCTGCAATATAACAAAGAGTGAAAAGTTTAAGGGGGTCTGAATACTTTCCGTACCCACTGTATATATATATATATATATCTCCCTAGGAGAAGTAGGTCATGAAAGTTCACTTTCAGAACTTTAATTCCCAAAGCTTAAGTTCACTTCTAATATATCAGCTGCAGTCAGTGTAGCTTTATCACTGTGCAGACTTTATTAGTTGGAAGAAAGTTTTTGAAGGATGAAATAAATCGGCTTTAAAATTTCTGACACCAGAATTACCATCACACCAGATGATAACTGCTATCTGGTGCATCACACCAGACTTTATTAAGGAACATCTATACAGGTATGTGTGCTGAATAAAGGCCCGCAGAGAATAACCTGAGTGAATTGCAGTTAGTATATGGAGTACTCTGAAATTATAACGTTTTTTAATGCAGCGAGGAAAACAAATGCTAGTTGTGTTGCTGTTTGACCTAGAGGCTTAATGATCAACATTTGTTGGTCATGTAAGAAAAAAGAAAAAAAAACAAGGGATGGAAATAAAAAACAGAGCACATGTGATAAATGCTATGAAGCACACAAAAAAAAAATTTCAGGTGGTAGAAAATATTTCTTACTTTATGCCTAATCAGGTTGATTAATTCATATTATTTACATTTTTATCACATACAATATATTTTTACACTGTAAAACCTGTTTCACATTGTACACATAGCTGCACTTATTTTATTTGATGTAACTGATCAAAAATACTCCGACCCAGAAATCACTGTATGTTTTGCATGGAGCTGCAGTTTTCTTAGCAGAAATGCTGTTAGTGTAAAAGCACAACACAAATCTGCCATTGCAGTTATGCTGCAGAAACAAAGCCTTTGTGCTACATATGCATGCAGTGTGAAACAGGCCTTATTTTATAGCTTATGTGCCGTCATTTGAGTTTCAGGTTCCTGGTCTGTATTTTCTTATATAGCACTTTGATATTCCTGCTGAACACTTTCAGTGCTGAGAGGTGAAAATGAACCCTTTGAAGATCACAGCTTTCAAATCTCACTGTGGCTTCCAAAAGTCTCCCTGAGCCGAGGAACAGAATCTAAACTTAGTACTATGAATCAGATCATAGCTTCTCAAAGCATTGAGTCTAATCTCCTACGACAGACAAGTTGGATGCACACGGACTTCCACTTATCTGTGTGCTTAGGTCTGGGCAATTTAAAGCACATTCATTCTTAAAGGTTAAAAAAAACCTAGAGCAATTCTGAATATCAAAAAAGTCTTCAATATGTTGTTAAAAGGAAAAGTTCACCCAAAAATGAAAATTTGCTGAAAATGTACTCACCCTCAGGTCATTAAAGATGTAGATGAGTTTGTTTCTTCATCCGAACAGATTTAGAGAAATTTTGCATTACATCACTTGCTCATCAATGGATCCTCCGCAGTGAACGGGTGCCGCCAGAATGAGAGTCCAAACAGCTGATAAAAACATCGAAAAGCTTATTATTATTTATTACAAACACACAGCTTTTCGCTTCACACGATATTAAGTGATGGACTGGAGTCATGTGTATTACTTGTGAATTACTGTGTTGTTTTTATCAACTGTTTGGACTCTCATTCTGATGGCACCCATTCAGAATACATTGGTGATCAAGTGATGTAATG